GGTTCTCACTGACGCCTCCGAAGGTTGTTGAGTCCCACAGGCTGGGCTGGACCCGACCTGACCTCCACTTCTCCATGGGCCTGGCTGTGCCCTTCAGTGTGTGGGAGCCCCCTCTGCTCCCCAACCCTGCACCCAGAAAAATACAAGTGTTCTTGCACTAGAAAGCACTCAAGAAATGCTTGTTGGAATGAAGGGGAGGAGGAGAGAAGGACAGGAGGAGAGGCTGCCTAGAGAATGTGTAGGGTGGCAGCAGGTGGGGATGGAGGCCCAGGGGTCCACGGCGGAGGCGGAGATGCAGGCACCTGCGCCAGGAAGGGTGGGTGTTGCCAGATTTAGCGAATGAAAGTACAGGACATGCAGTTAAGTTGGAATGTCAGATAAACAAGAAGTTAATTTTGTTCTAAGTATGTCTGTTATGGGCTGAATTGTGTGCCCCCAAATACCCAAATACGTAGGTTAAATTTCTTACCCCCAGTCCCTCAAGATGTGGCCTTGTTTGGACACAGGGTCTTTACAGAGGTGACCAATTCAAAATGAGGTCTTTGGGATGGACCCCAATGCAATGTGCCTGGTGTCCTTATGGAAAGGGGACAGACACACACAGGGGAGAGGATGTGAAGAGACAGGGAGAGAGGCCTGGCAGATCCCCCCTCGGGGCCCTCACAAGGAACCAACCCTGTTGACACCTTGATCTTGGACGTCTAGCCTCCAGGACTGTGAGACAGTACATGTCTGCTGTAAGCCTCTCAGTTTGTAGCACTTTGCACTGGCAGCCCCAGCAAACTAATACCGTGTCCTGTGCAATCTTTAGGGCAGACTTACACTGAAAATTACTTTTTTCCCCCAGAAATTCATATTTAAGCGATGACCTATATGTGCCCTGGCAAGCCTATGGAGGAACATCTTCTGTGCAGCCCGATGACGAAGCTAGCACCATTAATGATGGGTAAGAACTAGAGGTAGATTTCAACTTAAGCGGAAGTTCTTTCTAATTATTGAAATGACCACCCGATGGCACAGCTCCATGAGGAAGGAGTGAGCCCCTCATTCCTGGAGGTAAAATGATTTACCCTTTCAAATGGGGGTAAAACCTGCCTCTCAGGGTAGCTGTAGGAATAGAAGCATATGGTGATGGTAAAAACAAAAGTTGGGAAACAGTCAGATGGACTCCTGGCCCTTCACTGGGAGGAGAGGGGAGCAGTAAAGACATCACTTGTGATTTTCCGTAAGAAACGACCAACTATATTCCAAGACAAGGCATACCTGCAGCTGCAAGTTGGCATCGGAATCCTCATAAATGTGCCGGGCAAACCCATCGTTCTCCAGGGCCAAGCTTTCCAGGAGATTTAAATTCAGGTCCTTGCCAAAGCCCAGGGTATATAAGGGGAACCTGCCTTTGATGGCACTCAGCACGTTCTCCTGTATTTTAGCGGGTCTGCTTTCACCTGCAGGATATTCACACTCTAGCCACCACCCGGACAACTGTCTGGACTCCATCTGTCTGAAGAGATCTGACTCCTGTACGTGCAGTGCAGGAGGGGTCGTGGTCAGGAGCCTTTGTCAGGTCAGAGGGTGGGGAGCCGTGGCAGGGGGAGGCAGGTCCCTGCCCTCAAGGGGCTCACAGTCCACAGGAGCCCTGGGGAGAGCTGCCCAAGGTCTTGCAGCAAGCGGGCTACAGAGCCAGGAGCGGCAGCCAGGCACTGCGGTTCTGATTTAGAGCTATGGCCGCCTGCCTCACCAACATTGGCGTCCCTGTCGGTCAGCATGATGACGATGGAGGTGCTCCTCTCTGGCACTGTGTGCTCCTCCCGGGCCTTGTTCAGCATGCTGATGCCTGTCAGCAGCCCGTCGTTTATGTTGGTCACTGGCACAGAGAGAACACAATGGGAGGGGCCTTCAGGGGACCATCATGGAGGAGGGGGTAGGGACATTAGGCCCTGCTCATGTGCCCAAGGACTCTGTCTGCCAGTACGTGGTGGTACTCAGTAAATACTGACTAGTGAGTGAAGAATGAATGATTTAACCTTTCAAATGGGGGTCAAACTGCCTCTCAGGGTTGCTGCAGGAATAGAAGCACATGGTGATGGTAAAAACAATTTGGGAATCAGTCAGATGGACTCCTGGCCCTTCACTGGGAGGAGAGGGGAGCAGTAAAGACATCACTTGTTATTTTCTGTAAGAAACGACCAATAGTAAAGGTTCTCTGTGGCCTTATCTTGCTGGGAGTTGTGGTTCACCAGCATCATGGGTTAGAAACAGACAGATGGGTTTTCTTAGATCCTGAGATCAAGCCTGAGGACCCCACCCCACTCCCGCCTCTACCCCCAGCCAGGGTCTGCCGGCCTGGCCAGCAAAGCCTGTGCCCCAGGGAGGAGGGAAACAGGCTGCTCGGGCAGAGGGAGGGGCAGTGAGAACATTGCTCTCCCCTCTGTTCTTACTTCCTCGATCTCTAACGTTCTTCACAAACTCCCTGGCCTCCTGGATGTTCTCAGGAGTGGCTTGAACTAAAGTGTCTTTCCAAGTGGTCACATCGGAATCGAACAGAATGAAATTCAGGTAGTCCTCCTCTTTTATATCCTCCAGGATTTTGAGGAGGGCATCCCTTGTCTGGGAAAGAGAAAGACAGGCAGACAAGAAGCTGAGAGAGGCAGCCACAGACAGTCTGGTGTCTTCGCAGCTGGGCTGGCAGTGGGGCCCTGTCGCCTGCAACAATGGGGGTGGCCATTTGTGCCTTTTTTTCCTATTCTCCTTCCTCCTCTTTCACTGAAAACATCAGCTTTGTCCATTTAAAACAAAACTGTCGCCCATCCTGGGTGGCTCAGTTGGTTGGAGTGTTGTCCTGTACACCAAGAGGTTGTAGGTTTGATTTCTGGTCAGGTCAAATACCTAGGTTGCTGGTTTAATCCCCAGTTGGTGCACCTACAGGAGGCTACCGATTTATGTTTCTCTCTCACATCGATGTTTCTCTCCCCCTGCCTTCCCCTCTCTCTATAAATCTATAAACATACCATTGGGTGTGGATTTTAAAAAAATATCTACCCACCACCTCTCACCCCCACTTGCACAGAAGAGAGTACCTGCTCTATTTTCCGGCCAGACATGGAGCCGCTGATATCAATCACGAAGACCACATTCTTAGGCACCACAGGAAGGCCTTGAGGTGCAAAGAAGTGCACAAAGTAGCCATTGACT